TATACAATAAACTGCAAGTGGATTAAAGGCCTAAATGTAAAACCACAAACCATAAAGTTCCTAGAAGAAAACATAAGCGGAACAGTTTTTGATGTAAATCATAGAAATATGTTTTTGAATCTGTTTCCTAAAGCAAAGGAAATAAAAGCAAAAATAAATAAGTAGGACCTAATTAAAGCTTTTGCTTAACAATGGTAACCACTGACAAAATTAAAAATCCTACTGAATGGGAGAAAGCATTTGCAAATTATATGACCTAAAGGGGTTAATATATATAAACAGTTCATACAACTTGACGTCAAAGAAAAAAAAAAAACCTGATTAAAAAACAGATCTGAAAGAACATTTTCCTAAAGAGGTCATGCAGATGACCAACAGATGGCCACATGAAAATATACTTAACGCTCGAAACCACAATAAGATGTCACCTCACACTTGTCAGAATGGCTATCATCAAAAAGACTACAAATACCACACATTGGTGAGGATGTGGAGGATTCTTCTGTTGGTAGGAATGCAAACTGGTACAGTCACTGTGAAAAACAGTATGGAGGTTTCTCAAAAAAAAACTAAAAGAAGAATTACCATATGACCCTGCAATTCTGTTCCTGGGTACGTATCCAAAAACACCAAAAGCACTAATTTGAAAAGATACATGCACCCCAGTGTTCATGTGTGTGCTTAGTCGCTTAGTCGTGTCTGACTCTTTGCAACCCTGTGGAACATAGCCTGCCAGGCTCCTCTGTCCATGTGGATTCTCCAGCCAAGAATACTAGAGTGGATTTCAGTGCCAACCTCCAGGGGATCTTCCCAACCCAGGGATCAAACCCAGGGCTCCCACCTGGTAGGTGGATTCTTTACTGTCTGAGCCGCCAAGGAAACCCAAGAATACTGGAGTGGGTATCCTATCCCTTCTCCAGGGGAACTTACTAACCCAGGAATCGAACCAAGGTCTCCTGCATTATAGGCAGATTCTTTACCAGCTGAGCTACCCAGGAAGCTATGCCAATGTTCATAGCAGCACTATTTACAATAATCAGGACATGTAAGTAACTTAGATGTCCATCAACAGATGAATAGATAAAGAAGTTGTGGTACATATATACAGTGGAATATTACTAAGCCATTAAGAAGAATATAGTGATGTGGATGAATCTACAGTCTGTCAAACACAGTGAAGAGATCAGAAAAAGAAAAATAAATATTGTATGTTAGCAAATATATATGGAATCTTAAAAAATGGTACTGATGAACCTATTTGCAGGGCAGGAATGGAGATCCAGATATAGAGAATGGACTTGTGGACACAGCAGAATAAGGAGTGGGGGGACGAATTGAGAGAGTATCATTGACGTGTGCACACCATCATGTGCAAAACAGACAGCTGGTGGGAAGCTGCTGCATAGGGTAGGAAGCTCGGCTCGATGCTTCATGATGACCTAGAGGGGTGGGATGAGGAGCTGAGGGAGGTTCAAGAGGGAGGGGAAGTCTGTGTCCTTATGGTTGATTCATGCTGTTGTACAGCAGAAACTAACACAACACTGTAAGGCGATTATCCGCCAAGTAAAAAAATAAATTAAACTGAAAAATATCTCCCTAATCATTGAAAATCCAGCCTGTTTTAACAATGAGTTTAACTATGGACTCAACCCATCTTACCCAATACACTAAAATGAACTACTTCTAGTACTTAAAACCCCTGCATTTTCCTTCTTAGTTAAGCGGACACTAACTTTCTTCTCCGATGTGTATTCCCTTGCATGATTTTTTTTTTTGGAACTTTGAGGATATCTGCTCCATTCTCTGCCAATGTTTTGGTATCTTTAAGGTAAGGTTTGGAGCACCCCACTTCTGATCAGCTTGTAGTGTTTGCTGAGAAACTGCATGTGGAACACTGTGAATCTGTCCTCTATTTCCTTGGGGTCTAGTGGCCTCTCCTAACAATTTGGTCCCAGCAAGGCCAGAGGGTTTGCTGCAGATTCCTCTTGCTTTCCTGACCTGGTTGCTTGCTATCCAGATCTTAGACGAGGGACCCTTTATCTAGAGCTTTAATGATACACACTGACAGGTTCCCCCAGATACTGAGTTCACTTATATACCCTTGCCTAGTAGCTAGTAGGAACATACTCCTTTTTGCATGCCATATGGGAAATGGCATTGTCTCAGGAGTACCTTCTATTACCCAGTCCTACAGGCTTTTCCTTAGCTACTACTATCCACGTGTGGGCAATTGTATAGCTTTCACAGCCCCTAAAGGGTGCAGGGCAAAAACTCCTCTCATTATTTCCTTTAACCAAACATAGCTTCCCTTCTGGGACCTGCCCAGAGAGAAGACACTGTGACAGACATCTCTGCTTCCTTTACTTCTCTGCCCTCATTCTTCCCACAATCCCTATTAATCGGATCAACTACATTTTAGTTTGATTTCCTACCAAATAGAGATTTCTTCAAAGACTTCTGGGCGCAAACCTTATGACTCTTCCTAAATGATAAGCGGAATATGGAGGCATTGGCTTAATAACAATGGAATATAAATGAACAGGAATACAGAAAATAATGAAATTATTTTACTGTGAAATATCTGGCACATAGTAATTATTTAAACAATTAAACCTATGATTATTATACTACCTAGAAAGATAATTTACAACATAGCCAAATAGCAATTAATAGCTTCCAAATCTCAGTTTTCAATCAGGAAAGAGGTTAATATTGCCTGATAGTGAGAAATACCCAGGTCATTTGCCAAACTTGTAAAAAATCCTGTGAAGTGCTAAGAAAAGCAAGGCAGAAGGGCACAGCTGGGCAGATAAACTCTGCAGGAAGCTTGAGCCACAGATATTTGTTATTTTTATTTTTTGTATGGATCTGGGATCTACCAGAGAATGTGGGCAAATTACCGTAACAGCTTCTTGCTCTTCTTTATGCAATCTGTTCTTCGGATTTTAAACCTCAGGGCATTATGTTACAATACCAAGGCCAAATGTTACACCACCAGTGATCCTAGCCCTTAAAAGAGGGACCCTCTAATTCAGGGGTCCCCTAGCCCCAAGTGTCAGGCAGGAAGTGGTCTGCGGCTTGTTAGGAACCAGGCCACACAGCAGGAGGTGAACAGCGTGCTAGGGAGGGAAGCTTCATCTGCTGCTCCTCATCCCACCCATTACCACCTAAATCTCCCTCTCCCAGGTTCCGTGGAAAAACTGTCTATGAAACTGGTCTCTGGTGCCAAACAGGTTGGGACCACAGTTCCAACTGATAATGCTATGTGACCAAAACCAAAACATACACAACACTGACCATGAATACTTTATCTGTGTAAGAACCACCAACAGGCAAATATATATTTGGTAAATTATTATGAATGCATATGCTATTATGCATCTGAACTCAGTCTCTCTATAAAAAATTGCTCCAGACTCAGTGTTGTTCTGTCTTCCCCAGACCTTTGTGTGTGATCTTCACCTTCAGCACACACTGTTGTCCTCTGCCTACTGTTTACTTCATGAGGGTAACACTTCCTCCACTATTTTCCCTTACATATGCACCCTTCAATTACAATCTCTGCCTGACTTTTTTAGGAAATGGCTTGCTATTTCCGGACTTCCCAAGATTACACAAAAGCCAAATTAATTTTTTCTCTCATCCTAACAGTCTTAGATTGCAAATTTAGCTGGAAAGGTAAAGCAAAAATAAAATGGTAGATGGGCTACTAGGTCAGAGTCAAAGAAATATGCCATGGAATGAATAACTATTCAGTAGTATGATAGAGCTTTACGAATCCAATCCAAAATGAAAAGCATGTAGTGTTAACTGGAAGATAACTATAACATGTATTTTTCTCTTTTGAATAATAGCTTTTTCTTGGCCACCTGCCTGCCAAGTTTCTTAACCTTTTATTCTCCAACTTTGGTTTCCAAAGTTACTTTAATCCCATTAACACACATACCTTCAGACCTCAGCCTTTGAAAATCCTTTGTGGGTCATCGAAAGATGAAATCATTGAGCCAAGGGAACATAAAGCCAGATCAAAGAAGGGCCAGTTTTTGAACATGAAAGAATTTGAATTAAACACTCCCCATCTTCCAATTTATCAAATTCCAAGTGTCTGCTTTCTGTATTATTCCAGAAAATTTTGAGAGGCAACAGTTAATGTATATATAGAGTTTGAAGTTAAGCAGATATGAGTTTGAATCCAGATCCCAAATCACTCAATTATTTCGATCCTCAGTTTCTTAACTATAAAATGGGAATAACCTCTCAGAGTCTTGCTGTGCCATGAGGACTTGGGAGAGTCTATCTAAAGAGTTTCCAGCACAAAGTTGGGCGCATGGAAGGCACGTTATTAGTGGCAGTTCTTTAACTTCCTTCACAATCTTCTACTCCAGGACTTTGCCATACCTTAGGTTTCAAGTCTACCACCAACCTTTGAGGACCCCAGGGTTTCCTAGTTTCCAGGGAGTCACAGCCATACATGCAATATATTAGAAAAGAGGTAACTAGTCTGGAAAGTCTGCAAAGCAACATTAATTTTTTCATATAGGAAAGAAAATTCTTATTCAAAAAGCTTTAAACCAAAGGAAAAACAGGTTTATTAGGTCGTTTTCCATGGAAATTGCTGGAGAACACAGCCCACGGTAATTGCAGTTGTATTCTTATCAGTTATCACGAGCATATTCAAAAGGTGCCTGTTAAAGAACCATGAATTTTACTGGAGTCTCACTTATCACCATGTATTCCTCACCTGATGTTTCGAGTTTTCTGGTTCCAGGTTCTCTAAAAGAAGAACAATATCTAAAAAGGTTATATAGCATGACTGGAGAAATATTCCTGCTGACAAATATAGTCTAAATTTCTGCGAAATTATCAATTGTATCAAAACCATTATTATCTATGATAATTATATGTGGATTCCCATTTCAATTTTCAACAATATTTTTCAACAATACTGCTACCTTAAAGGATTGGGGCCCTAAGCAAATCAATATTCTGGGTTTTCTTACCTCTTCTATTAAAGCAGAACTTGGGTTAAACAAACTAAGGTCCTAAGATATCTCTTTCAACATCCACTGATATTATGATACTACTTAAATGATCAGGAGGGGTGTGGGCACTTGCTAAGAATACAAGTAAGAGAAAGGGTTAACAACTGTCTTCTGAGCTGTCTCCCTGCACAGAACTCTGCTTGTGTGAGCTCAAGACTTCTCTCTCTCATTCTGGGTTCCACACTTAGAACTCAGGTACTACTCCCCAGCTGGTAGTTCCCTCTCTCTGGAATGAAGGACAAAAGTCAGAAAACAACCAAAGATCCTTAGAAAAATGAGATTGCCTAGAAGTGGGATGGAAACGGAGGGAAAAGTGGAGTCAGACTACCCAAGACAAGGCTCTCATTGCTGGAGTTTTGAAGGAAAGGGAACTAGGTGAACCAGTTGCCAGGACAACCTGCTGTTGGGGCAAGGGCAGTTGGGGCAAGGATATGGGAGACCTTCGGCTGCTCCTTCTCCTGCCCCTATCCCTGGCAGCCTTCCATGGGGTCAAAGGCTGTTTGGAATGTGACCCCAAATTCATCGAGGAAGTTAAATCCTTGCTTGGAAAGCTAGTGCCCCCAGAAGTCCCAGGCCGAACTCATCTGCTTGAACGGCAGATGAAAGAGATGATCCGTTTAAGCTTCAAGGTCTCCCACAGGGACAAGATGCTTCGGGTGTTGGGTGAGGGAAGCCTAAGCCCCTAAGAATTTTGGGAGCTAAAGGGAGAAGGGAGGAAGGGAAGAGAATGCCTGGGGCCACATAATTTCCTCTGTAAATGTAATTAACCCCCACATGTTCCTTTACCCCTCCTCTCTAGCTGTTCAAAAGGTTGTCGATTTGAGAACATGGCTGAAGAATGAACTTGATAAACTGAGCAAGGAAACATGGAAAGGTGAGGTACTGTTTCAATGCTAAAACAATGTATTGCCCAAGCAAGTTTGAGATCAATTCACTGGGGGAAACAAGGCAAAACAATTAGGATTAAATTATGAAGGGAAAGGCCACCCCTCTTTTCTGATGTCCATTCTACCCCTTTTCAGGTGTCTTTATCCTTCAAGGCAGGCTTCTCGATATCCGCAAAAACCTGGACTCCAAACTGGAAAAACTATTAAAGACATTCTCTGAAGTTGGTAATATCAGATGTATATCTAACACCACTGAAATTATGTGAAAGGAATAGGAAGTGAGGGGTGAGAGGAGGAATAGGGATTCACATTAAAATAATCCAGAATGGGTGGAGGGGTGGCTGGAAGGTAATGGGTAACCAAATAAAGACTATTTGAGTATAAATATGACAAGCTTTAAGTTAAGTCTAAGCTCATTAGATCTTTCTGGTTCTCTTTTAGCTTGTTCTGAAGACTGTGGTAAGTACAGTATATGCAGTGCCTTTGGTTCCAGTGCATATTTCCCCATCTCCTTTATCTCCTCTACTTGTCACACTGAGAACATAATTCCTAAAGCCATCAGCTACAAGGCGGAATGTCAACGATCTGTGACAACAAAATCTAGCTTATGAAATCTCAATCACTCCATATAATTGGACGTGCTCAGAGTCCTTCTATACCAGAGTTTTGAATCCATAGCCCCAAAATAAGCTGAGGCATCATCTCCCCACTTCTTCCCAGAGATTAGGCTTAAAGTGTTGATCCATCTCTAAACTTGATAGCTAGGGGAAGAAGAAAGTTACAACAGTGTAACTAACGGAATGCCCGCGATCTAATTCATACTGGTGCCTAAGTTAAGGCAACTCCATGCTGCGGCCCCTTCCAACTATCTTTCTTCTTCTCTCCATCAGTCGTGACTGAAGGTCCTATCCTGGATTGTTGGACGTGTCTTCGCATCACCTCTCGATGTTTCAAAGGAGAATACTGTGAAGGTAACAGAGATTGTTGTGTGGCACTTTGAAAGACCAGGGATCAATGAGTTTCTCATTGATTCGGTCAACAAATATTTGTTGATCACATTCTATGTAGGTCATGCTAATGCTACAAATAAGAGCTAAGATGCTGGACAAAATTTGTGCCAGAAATGAATTATTGGGCACTAGGTCACTGAAGAGCTTAGAAATGAAAAAGTGTACTAAAGGTGGAGAAGTCAGGCTAGGGGTAGTAGAGAAAAATGTTTTGCAGAGCCTAGGAGTCTTAAGAAAGAGCAGAATAACGAGGGAACAGGATATAAATGGTGAATAGAACAATTTTTAAGGTTAAAAACAGTCTTACGGATAAAGCTCTCAAGTTACTAACTTTCCCCTCCAGCTCACTTTTTTCCCCTTTTTTCCTCCAGAGGATGATCCAAAGAAGGCTGAGAATCGAGAAATTGGACTATTTCTGATATTATTAGCAGAAGTTGTAATATTGGGAGGTGTTTTGCTACTGTGAGTTTTCCTGCTTTTAAACACACACTGGGTCAAGCATTTATTTGGCAAAGAGACTGTCCAATCTTTCCCCTTCTTCCAATGGAAATAAGGGGAAAGAAGTCATCTCAAACTTTGGGATATCCTACTAATAGGAATGAAACAGATAAAAGTTTGATGGGATAAAAGTTGGAACATAGAAATGGAGGAAGTGTGATAAAGTATGAGAAAAAAAGCTTGTAGAGGAATTCAAAAAAGGAAGAAAAAAATAGTTACAATTTTTTAAAGAATTGGGCTACTAATATTTAAATTGGGATTATCTTATCTCTCTAGATTCCATTTTTGCATCACTCACCGGAGGAAAATGAAGGCAATACGAAGGTCATTAAAGAAATACTTGGAGAAGAAACTTGAAGAATTAATGGGAATAATGGATGAGAAGGAGACAGATTTCAGAGGCAGAAAATAAATACACAGACACAGGCAGGAGATCTTTCATGATTCTCTTATGTGTTGACTCCAAGTAGAAAACCAGGAATTAAGCTCTTTTGCAGTCATAAAGTCAAAGTATTCTAAAACTGAACTTAGTTTCTCTGGTAAAGATCCTTTCTGATACCCTGAGGGCAACAGAAGCAAACATTTTACTGGAAGTTGGACAGAAAGCAATGATAGTATGCTGCAATGCACATGAAAGATGATACACTGCATAATAACAAAGAATAAATGGTAATCTAAGATTCGACAGAAGATAATAAAGACGTAGTTTTATTTCTCATTCTATCAGTCTAAGCATCCAAACAATGGACTTAATGTGTGTAACTATTACCAACAAAATTTTAAGTATGGTTTTCGGTCTTTTGTTTAAAAAAGGGCAAAATAAAAGAAGTGGAATCAATTTTCTGATAGTGTAGACTCCATTAAGGATAATGATGAAATAGATGAAAAATTGATGCTTGCAGAATGGAACCTGTCATTTTTCTAAACCTGTTTTTTTCTATGATGTCAACCCATGTTCAACTTATTATAAATAAAGTTCTTTGTAATCACATTTTTAAAAAAGAATGCATGGTTGGTAACTCTCATTAATGTCTTTAATCAAAATTACTTTTAAATGTCTCAGTTGAGTTCACTTCAGTCGCTCAGTTGTGTCTGACTCTTTGTGACCCCATGAATCGCAGCATGCTAGGCCTCCCTGTCCATCACTAACTCCTGGAGTTTACTCTAACTCATGTCCATCGAGTCGGTGATGCCATCCAGCCATCTCATACTCTGTCGTCCCCTTCTCCTCCTGCTCCCAATCCCTCCCAGCATCAGGGTCTTTTCCAATGAGTCAGCTCTTCACATGAGGTGGCCAAAGTATTGGAGTTTCAGGTTCAACATCAGTCCTTCCAATGAAAACCCAGGACTGATCTCCTTTAGGATGGACTGGTTGGATCTCCATGCAGTCCAAGGGACTCTAAAGAGTCTTCTCCAACACCACAGTTGAAAAGCATCAATTCTTCAGCGTTCGGCTTTCTTCACAGTCCAGCTCTCACGTCCATACATGACCACTAGAAAAACCATAGCTTTGACTAGATGGATCTTTGTTGGCAAAGTAATGTCTCTGCTTTTTAATATGCTGTCTAGGTTGGTCATAACTTTCCTTCCAAGGAGTAAACGTCTTTTAATTTCATGGCTGCAATCACCATCTGCAGTGATTTTGGAGCCCCCAAAAATAGTCTTTGATTGTTTCCACTGCATCCCCATCTATTTGCCATGAAATGATGGGACCATATACCATGATCTCAGTTTTCTGAATGTTGTGAATTTTTTCACTCTCCTCTTTCACTTTCATCAAGAGGCTCTTTAGTTCTTCACTTTCTTCCATAAAGGTGGTGTCATCTGCATATCTAAGGTTATTGATATTTCTCCTGGCAGTCTTGATTCCAGCTTGTGCTTCATCTAGCCAGGCATTTCACGTGATATACTCAGCATATAAGTTTAATACTTATGGTGACAATATACAGCCTTGACTTACTCCTTTCCTGATTTGGAACCAATCTATTGATCCATGTCCAGTTCTAACTGTTGCTTCCTGACCTGCATACAGATTTCTCAAGAGGCAGGTCAGGTGATTTGGTATTCCCATCTCTTTCAGAATTTTCCACAGTTTGTTCTGATCCACATAGTCAAAGGCTTTGGCATAGTCAGTAAAGCAGAAGTAGATGTTTTTCTGGAATTCTCTTGCTTTTCAATAATCCAACAGATGTTGGCAATTTGGTTCCTCTGCCTTTTCTAAATCCAGCTTGAACATCTGAAGTTCACAGTTCATGGACTATTGAAGCCTGGCTTGGAGAATTTTGAACATTACTTTACTAGTGTGTGAGATGAGTGCAATTGTGCAGTAGTTTGAGCATTCTTTGGCTTTGCTTTTCTTTGGAATTGGAATGAAAACTGACCTTTTCCAGTCCTGTGGCCACTGCTGAGTTTTCCAAATGAGCTGGCATATTGAGTGCAGCACTTTCACGGCATCATCTTTTAGCATTTGAAATAGCTCAACTGGAATTCCATCACCTCCACTATCTTTGTTTGTAGTGATGCTTCCTAAAGCCCACTTGACTTCACATTCCGGGATGTCTGGCTCTAGGTGAGTGATCACACCATCATGATTATCTAGGTTATGAAGATCTTTTTTGTACAGTTCTTCTGTGTATTCTTGCCACCTTTTCTTAATATCTTCTGCTTTTGTTAGGTCCCTACCATTCCTGTCCTTTATTGTGCTTATCTTTGCATGAAATGTCCCCTTGGTATCTCTAACTTTCTTTAAGAGATCTCTAGTCTTTCACATTCTCCG